AGGTCTGATCCGGATAGCAGGTCGCAGACTGATCTTGATGTCCATGTCAGAGATGCTGCTCCGGAAGTCTGCGAGTCCAAGGTGTCGGGCAAAGGAAACAGCATGGTTGCCAACCAGCTGTCTTATCTCCTCGTATTGGGCTGCAGCATGCCATCGTCCTCGTGCGCTTGCCATTAGATCCATTATCTCCGGCGACGTGCAGGGGGCGCATACAGAACTTGGACAAGAGAGACAAGGATGTGGCGGAGGACAGATGGGAGAACGGGGCAAAGCGGAGGCAAGAGCGGATCAGACAGGGGGGGGTTCAAGAGGCAAGGGCTTCGCTGGGTACAGGGATGTGTGTAGGGCAGGAATGCGGGGTTTTGGCGGGGTCAAGGCGGGGTTTATGCAAGGGTTTAGGGTTTGAGTTATATTATGTATCTAGGATATATGGTGAGCACGATCATAGGCGCGAACAAGTTTCATAGCATTCTTAAGGTTAGCTCGTCATCAACACCATCAGTTGCGTTATCATCATCATCATCGTCATCACCATCATCATCATCATCATCATCATCAAGATTATCATCAAAGGTGGTCGTCATCAATACCATCATCATCCTTATGTCATCATAGGGCGCTGTGTGTCATCATCATCATCATCATCATCATCATCATCATCATCGTCCTCATCCAATCATCATCATTAGTGATGCTCGCCATCACCACCATCTTCATCGTCATCATCAAATCATCATCATTAGTGATGCTCGCCATCACCACCATCATCATCCTGTAGTCAGTACAAGGCGCTGTGCGTCAGCATCATCAGCATCAATCATCATTAATAGTTTGTAATCAAAGGGTCGGTGTTGCTCTTTAGTATGATCAGCATCATCATTCTGTCATCTTCCTAATCATCATCATCTTCAGGGTGCTGTTCACCGTCATCAACAAAATCCAAAAAAAAAAAAAAACCTCATCTACCTTTTCTGAGTTTCTCCATCACGATTTTCGGAATTTTTGATTGGAAGTGTTTTTCCTTTTCTCCACTATTAATTTCTAATTCCCCTTTGGGCACACTAATGAATTATTTTTGAGCGGG